GGTAAGGTTGGGAAAGTACAGGATGTATCACAGGAAATAGAAATGAGGGACAAACTGAATACTACGTAGACCTCCTCCATGCCGCGCACCGCACGTTTCCCTTTATCGGTCAGCGGGTCGTAAGAGCTGGACGAAGGAATCCCCTCCACGTCGAGATCCAGATCACGTGCTCTCGTCTGGGCCTTGCTCGCCGCCCTAAGCTCTGGACTTCTAGGACTGTGGATTCGACGAAGTCCTGGAGATCCACTTGAAGGTACTGCACTGCCTGCATTGACAGGCCAGGTGGCTTCCTTCTGGAATTCAACGGTTTTTAGCTCATCTGCGTATGGATTACTGGCAGATCGTCCCTTTCCACTGGTGGGTGACTGCTCAGGACGCCGCTTTTTAGGGATACCCAACGTGGCTTCGCTGCCCGGATAAGATAGCCTTGAAGCCTGAGGAGATTTAGGCTGTGATAGAATGTGTTCCTGCCCAAGTGCCAACTGTGGGCTTGCTGAGTGTCGTGCGGCTTTCACTCGGCCACGCGAACCCACATCAGAAATGTCGCGGCTCCGTGAGTTTCGTAGAGGCTCCGTTGGAACATGCTCCTTTATCGTAGTGAGTGGTGTTCGTGGAGGTGTGATCACAATATCCGGATCATCTACAAGTCCGTAGGGCCCTCCAAATATGGAGCGAAGGGGTTCCGACGACGGGGTTTGGGAATCGAAAACCTGCTTTTGCTCTCGCTGAAGGTAGCTTTCTGACAACCTAGTTGACTCTCTGCTGAGTTCACTCCTAGAGAGGTCGCGAATCACAGGGAATTGTTGAGGTTTGTCCCCGAGAGCTTCACGGGAAACCGGGATAGAATGCTCCACGTCAACTTGCGTCGAAGCAGGAGAATGAGAATATATGGGTGATTTATTCTTTGAGGTTAAATCCATAGAAGAAGGCTCCTGTTTGCGAGTATCTTTGATGGATAGCAATTCAGGTTCGGAATTCTTGTCACTCACATCGATTGAACGATCGATATTCTCATCAGTTGCAGGGCCTTGCGGGATTGGATCGAGACCTGGTGGACGTTTTATGAGATCTTCAAACTTGGGAACAGTTTCGTTATCAACTACTGGCTCTGCGAATCGTGGAAAAGTAGGTACTCTTGTCGAGATCGACTGTTTCCCCATAAAAGAAGTCGAGGTTCCTTGTGCATGCTTCTTTGTCTCTTGTTCGGGGGTTTCATGGGAACCCGCATTTTGTGAGGGCCGTTTTCTAGATACCCGTTCAAGAAACGGGAAGACGCTAGCCACTACTCCTGAGGGTTGGGGTTGAACGGGCTCCTCCAACACTCTTGGCGAAGTAAACCCTGTGATGGTTGGCTTTTCTTGAGCTTCCACTGGAGTTGGATATGGAGCTTTTGGTTCATTTAGAGGGACGATTTGCTTGCCTTTCCGTCCTTGCTCGCGGCCTTTGCCTTTCTTCTCGTGCTTCTCGCCAAGACCCCAAAAATCACCCTCGTCATCTACGTTTCCAGTATCCACGAATCCTGCAGGTGGCTCCAGCGCTTTGGATTTTTTGGCAATTGTGGTGGAGCGTTCCATTCTTGTTTCAAGTTCAGGCTGTGTTTCAGGTTTTTCATTTGTAACTTGAAGCATATTTTCATCGGTTTCATTTGGTATACCGAGGGAAGCTTTCCTTCTGGCTTTTCCTTTCTTTCCCTTATTCTGTCTCCTGTTGCTAGCAGTCCGAAAGTCATCAACTCCTGTAGCCCCCGAAGGCTCAGCAGGTGAGTGTGTGCCATCAAGGACCCTGGTCGAATCTGTTTTGAGATTTCCTTCCAAATTATGGTCGGCGTCTGACGATTGCGGGGCCGAGGAAAGAGCAGTCAACCGTTCGATGTGGTCTTGTTTTTGAAGAAATCCAGTAACGCCAATGTCACCTTGCAGGCTCCCAGCTTCGTCAACATCCAATGAAATAGGAGGGAGTTCATCGCTGTGGGAACTTCCGGGCCGCCGCACCTCGACTTGTTCGGGGTTCATGGGCAGAGGTCCACTTGCTGATGCCCAAGACACGTCTGGAATCATTTTTTCGCGTGTTTCTTGAGAAACAAGACTCACATTTTCATCAAAATCGCCAATGCTCTCGCCAACCACTACCCGCGCATCTACTGGTTGTTGCCCAAAGGGCTCCTCGGGCGGTTGCGGCTCATCTCCCGAAAGAAGCAGATCGAGGGACGAAGTGTCAGTTCCCTTGGTTTGGGCTCGGGCTGAGGTTCGTCGATTTTCCAAGCCTTATCTCTACCCCAATCAATTGGTGGCCAGTAATCGTCTTCTTCATTTTGTGGCTCC